GCAATCACAGTCCCACATTCGTTCACCATGAGGGGAAGTTCGTCAATAATGGTGCTGAGTGCGCTGTCGGTGGGTGTAATTGGTGATGTAGTGTCAAAGCCCTACGAGATGAATAGTAGTAAGTACAGGGAGTGGTTGTTCGGGTGTTTGCGATTTACTAACCTTGATAGCTACCACCGTGGGAGCACCACGACCGCACGTACATGCCACTGGACTACCGGTCCCGCCATACAGTTTATCAACATTAATATCAGAGCCCAGCTCAGCGACCATCGTTCCGTACCCGATTCCGTCAACATCAAATACATCCGTTGTCGTCGCCCCTCCCTCGTTATCAACTCCATATGCAGTATCCAGCTCTTCGCAAGGAGCACTACCAGCGGCACTGACAACATCGACTTCGCTCAATACCACTACTCAGAACTCAACATACATATACCCATCGCTATCGGGCTCAGCAACCGTCGTCTCGCCGGCTTCGGTTCCCACTCCAGGCTATGTACCCATAGTAGTTGAAGTTGTCTGTGAGACAGTATACTACTCAGCATCGCCAAGCACTCCAGTTGTTTCGACTGTGGTAACCCCCAGCGCTACTCCCTCGTCGGCTTTTGCCAGCATCCATCCTGGTCTCGCAATAGCTGCAGTTGGTCAAGCTGATGAGCCGGCTGCTTCTGCTTCCATCAACCTCCCGCTCTTGTCGTCGATCTTAATACCCGATATCAACCACCAAACCATGTTCACTACGACTACAACCACGACAACCACTGTCATCCTGACGCTACCCACTCCGCTACTCCCGACCACTTCAAACGTCGAATCTACTGCATCAGCGATAACGACAACGACCGTGATTACACTCACGTCTGCTTCCGCATCGGCATCAGTAGACCAGCCGGTCTCGACATCAACAAGCGGTTCGGAAGAAACATCATCATCACTAACCGACTCCGCATCGACCATCCTCTCCACCGTCACCGTCACATCCTCAACGCCATCACCACCCTCCAACACCGACAGCGCCTTCCCCACCGCCCCACCCTTCTCCTACAACCCCTCCGCCTCCCGTGGCTCCGCATCCCCCATCTCTCGCCCTACCCCCGAACCTTCCAGCGCCCTCGTCGCCGGGTCGACGCTCAGCACAGCCACCACACCAACTTCAACCTCAACACGCATCTCGCAATACACAGGTGAACCACCTGCACCCCCGGCCGCCACCGGAGGTGCGAGTGGTATGCTGAGTGACAGGAGCAAAGAGAGGGTGTGGTGGGTGGCTTTCTTTATGCCTTTGTTGCTTTTGGCGTAAAATGTGATGAATGTGAGAGAGGTGTAAGGAAGAGAAGACGATTACGATTCTTATGTGTTTATTACGATGACATTATTTAATTTTTGTATGAGTAATTAAGGGAGATGCGAGATGGGATGGGCTGGGATGGGATTGGGGAAAGAGGAGGATATACCAGGTTTTATGGCGCATATATGGCGTTTATACTAGATTCGGGGCCTTGAGTTTGATGTCAGATGGACAATTGTCTACGGGGTATGCTACAATGAGTTCTCATAGGCTTTAGATGTTGAAAGAGTATTACATAATGTTAAACGAAGATTTCATTCAAGCAAACTTGCCATGCCATGCGTTCAAGACCGGCGACGTCATCGAGTTTACAATTAGCTGCAACAGCGCTGCAGAGCCTACGGATCCAGTCCCTAGTTTCCGAAGGAGCAAGTACAGTACATCAAACTATGTCAAGAAAGTTCAACGACTGAGATGATCCGGGGTTGAAGTGCGGAGAGCGTTGTTCGTTTGAGACCAGAGCGGGGGGAAGCGCCTTGGCTAGCGCAAGCCACCATTTCTTCCGTCAATCAAACCTCATGTCCCACACACTCGACACAGCTTTCTTCGCTTCGCTTCCACGCGTAAAGTCGAACATGCACGCGTCTATAACGAAAATGCGATCAGAGCAAGCCTTCCGATCTGCACCGAATGTGCGCTCGAGGAGTTAGCACGCGTCGCATGCAGCCCAACAACCCGCGGCATCATTTCGGTTGGGAAGTATGACATAGATCATCACCCATTGAACCGGTACCTCAATATACGATGAGCGTCTCGGGTGAAGATTGTCCGCAGTACATCCAGAAGTCTGCATGCACCCCATCCAACGGCCCGTAGACCCTGGAGAGCATCTATAAGACTTACGGTACATTGTCTAGAACCGAGTATCTGGGCGAGACTCACTCACGCGGTGTACACTCCATACCATTATGCGGCAATTTTTCTCCGGTTCAGCCTCCCTGCTTGCTGGGTGTGCTCTGCTCCTTCCTAGCAGCGCGTACGACTTGGTTCGTAGACAGCAAGCAGCGAATGCGACTTACAAGGATGCTTCCGCACCAGTCGAGGACAGAGTGGCGGATCTTCTTTCCCGGATGACTATCGAGGAAAAGACAGCTCAGCTCATTCAGGGAGATATCTCGAATTGGATCAATACCACCACCAATGCTGTCAACGAGACAGGACTCGAATGGAACTTTCGCGTCCGCGCAGGTCAATTCTACGTCGGCTATCCGATACCTGCGGAATGGATCAGCAATGGCGTCAAGATTGGCCAGGACTACCTCGTGCACAATACGACATTGGGCATTCCAGCAATGGTTCAGACGGAAGCTATACATGGCTTGCTCGTCGGTAATGCGACCATCTACAACAGCCCAATCGGGCAAGCATGCTCGTGGGATCCGCAGCTGATACACGATATGGCTGTGGCGATTGCAAAGGAATCGGCTCCTCTCGGCATCAATCAACTGTTCGCTCCACTCGCGGATCTGGCGCGTGAGCTGCGTTTTGGAAGAGTAGAGGAGACATATGGCGAAGATGGTTTCCTGGCTGGCGAAATGGCATACGAATACGTCAAGGGAGTGCAAAGTCTTAATGTTAGCGCCACAGTCAAGCACTTTGCCGGATTCAGTAATCCAGAGCAAGGTCTCAACACTGGGCCAGTTCATGGAGGCGAAAGAGAGCTGCGAACTACCTGGCTGCCGCCTTTTCATCGAGCGATCATGGATGCTGGTGCCTGGAACATCATGGGTGCTTATCACTCTTATGATGGAATCCCTTCAATCGCGGATGGCCACATGCAAGAGACAATTCTCCGCGAGGAATGGGGTTACAAGTACTGGCTCACTTCGGATGCGGGCGCTACAGACAGGCTGTGCTGCAACTTCAAGCTGTGCCAATGCAAAACAGAAGACACGCCAATCGATAGCGAAGCGGTAACACTCATGGCTCTACCAAACGGCAACGACGTGGAGATGGGTGGAGGCTCATACAACTACGCAAACATCCCACGCTTAGTCGAAGAAGGCAAGCTAGACATCGAGATCGTCGACCGAGCCGTGAGCCGTCAGCTCCGAGCGAAATTCGAAATGGGTCTCTTCGAGAACCCATACAAAGGCCTCTCCACGAACGCGACTGAGTCCATCATTCACCCTGAAGAGCATGTGCAGCTCGCGAGGACACTTGAGGCTGACTCCATCGTCTTGCTCGAGAACAAGAACAGCACCTTGCCTCTCTCCAAGTCTGCAAATATTGCTGTCATTGGCCCTATGGCCAACATCACTAATCTCGGAGACTACGTGGTCTATCGCTCTCAGTACAACCCTACCAACGTTACCCCGTTGCAAGGCATTCAGAGTGCATCGAGTGGCACTGTGACCTACGCCCAAGGGTGCGAGCGCTGGTCAAACGATCAGTCTGGCTTCCCCGATGCCGTTGCTGCAGCCGAGGCTGCAGATGTCGCAGTAGTCGTCGTCGGTACCTGGTCACGCGATCAGCAAGAGCTCTGGCAAGGTCTAAACGCCACTACCGGTGAACATGTAGACGTCGCATCACTCAACCTCGTCGGCGCCATGGGCGAGCTCGTCCAAGCCATCATCGAAACCGGCAAACCCACCATCGTCGTATACTCCTCCGGCAAGCCCGTCACCGAGCCCTGGATCTCCGACAACTCAGCCGCGCTCCTCCAGCAATTTTACCCCGGTGAGCAAGGCGGCAATGGACTAGCCGACGTCCTCTTCGGCGACGTCACGCCCTCCGGCAAACTCTCAGTCTCCTTCCCTTACGACGTCGGTACCCTGCCAATCTACTACGACTACCTCAACTCCGGGCGGGCGACCGACGCCGGAGCCATCCTACCAAACGGCACTCTCCAATTCGGCCACCAATACGTCCTCAACAGCCCCCAGGCACTATACGAATTCGGATACGGCCTCTCCTACGCAAACTTCACTTATTCTAACGTCACACTCTCAAAGACCGAAGTCAGTCCCAGCGACACTATCACCGCGACCGTGACCGTGACGAACGAATCAGAGGTGGATGGCAAGGAGGTAGTGCAGGTCTATGTTCAAGATGTCTTTGCTAGTGTGGTGGTGCCGAACAAGGAGCTCAAGGGCTTCAAGAAGGTTATGGTCAAGGCGGGTGAGACGGTGGATGTTAGTGTTGAGTTGGATGTGGCGAAGTGGGGGCTGTGGGATAGGAAGATGCAGTATGTGGTTGAGAAGGGGGATTTTGTTGTGCATGTTGGGGCGAGTTCGATGGATTTGAGGGGGAATGCGACGGTTACTGTCGTTTGAGGTTGCTTGTGTTGAGTAGTTGGGGTCAGAGAAGACAGCTCGATTTGACACTGGCCGTCCACTCCATGGTAATGCGATAAAGTGGATCAGACAAACCACTTAGGACACTTCCAATCGTGTTCGCACAGAAGACAAATTTCGCCGATTTAGGAAGTCGCCATGTCCACGTGACTGGGCGCGTCGCTGTGCGACCGAAAGATACGCTAACGGGGTCTGTGCGGTAGCAAACGGGCGCTGCTCTATTTTGACTCTCTCACTTACCCTGCTCTAATGGATCGCTAATTTCAACATTCCCTTTTGGATGGTAAATTGATTCTTGTACCCTCCACTTCACCTCGCCAACGTTGCGCCATCACAAGGTCGGTACCCGTAAGATGGCGCCAGTGTCGTTGACTAAAGGCGCAATGATCCATAGCACACAAGTTTCAAGGGCAGTGGGTGAGGGCGCTGAAAAGTCCTCAGACGACGACGACGACTTCCACCTGGACTTGAACACTGATCTGATTGGCAAAAACACGGCCAAAAAGGATCTTAACATTGTGAACGATTATAGACCAGATTGGACATGTATGGAAGCCTACCGCGAGTCCTATCAAAACTGGTAAGTGTGGTCGCCGAAATTTCCGAGATTTCAGCCTCTAACTACGAGTAGGAGAGACGGCATTCTGAAATCCTTCGACCTTGATCTGTCCCGATTCCTACCAACGTACATTGAGAAAGGACGAGAGCTCATCATTGAAGCGCGCCATCCAGATAACGAGAACCTTCTTGGCTACATTCACTTTAAGGGTGACAAGGATGGAAACTGCATGGGAGGCCTGAAGATAGTCAACTTCGAAGCCACCCTCAAATTTTCCGATTTGGCTACTGGATCAACTTCCAAGGCCGACGAATCTGGACAGACTGGACAACATGGAGATGGTATGAAGATATCTTCTCTTGTTTACCGACGTAATGGCTACGATGTGCGCCACGAAAGTGGCGGCTTCAGCTGGCACTACATTTACAAAGAGGGTAACTTCATCTGCTCCCTCACTCGCATCAACGCGGTCAAATTGAAGGAAATCAAGAAAAAGGACAAAGGTCAACCCCGGACCCGTAATCACCATGCCTGGGAGGATGTTTGTTTGATCGTTGGCGAACCAGGAAAAGTCAAAGATGTGAAAGGGACGGAGGCACCAGGTAAACGGCTGAATATCATCGACTTCAAGGAATGGATCACCGTCACCCTCGACATCAATCCTCCAAAAGACATCATCCGCACTATCCACGGCGATCTTATCCGCGACCCCGAATACCAAGCACGCATGTACCTTCGTGGTCTGTTATTGCCGCGCGGGGGAACCCAGCGACAACAATACGTTTACGGATACAACTTTGTCAAGGGGAACACTAGCGCCGATCGCGATGCGCTTTCTGGTGCAACAGAAGAGAGTGAGGGTATCATCGCCATCTGGTCAGCTGCAATACGAGCAGATAGGTCGAGTAATTCCGAACTGCTGACGGATTACACCAACCTGCTCCTGGGTTCGATTGGCAAGAAGGGCGATGTGATGATGTATCCCTACCGCCACGGACACGAGCCTATGCCCAGGGAGATTGCCAAGAAGGTGTGGGAGAAGATGTTGACGCTCAACATTAGCGAAGAGGGTCAGGTAGCCTTCTACTATCGGGCTGGCGAAGGGAAAGATGTAGGGAAATAAGCTTCATTGAAACGAACTCCACTAACTGTAGCCTTCCAGGAAGCTCACGCTATCAGCAAGAATTTGCGAAAAAACCCTACTCCGCTCGGCCCCGACTTGTGGAGAATTCTGAGGAAGTACAGTCTTTGCAGAACGCCAAGCGAGGAGTTACTTCATCTTTTCAGTTCCGCAGAAGTCGTGAGCCCTGGACCAGACAGTATCTTCGCAGCAAGCATGCACAAAATGCTGCAATGCTTGCTATCCTCTTCTCCAGCCACCCGAGATATGGAGCTTACTTTCGTAGCCGGTGAACACCTGAACATCGATGCTGGGTTCTTTGCAGGTATCTGGAAAGTCCACAGCAAGTGGCTCACTTGGGCCGGCGCACACGAGCAAGCATTCTGCGAGGAGGATGGATCGGGGATCTTTTCCTGCGATCATGCAGTCCTGCAGCTATGGGATATCATGATCTCCCAGCTCATCGCTACCGGCAAACATCCTCGTATAGCTACTGAAGAACGTTGGCTGAAGAGTATGGCTAGGATTCGCCTGTCGCAGATGCCTCGATCAGTCGCGTGCCGTTCGACACAGAAGAAAGGCGAGCTTGTGGTCACATGGGAGTCTACGGATTCACACATGCACAAAAATAAGACGGTTAGGGTAACCTATCATCGGGGCTCCCGCGAACAGGTAGAAATGCTGGGCAAGCAGTGTCTGAACCATGACGGTAAGTTCCACAGGAACAATGGACTTCACACTCAAGCTAACGATGGGCAGAACGGGTTTGCTCCTGCCCAAGCCATGTATCTCAGGCTGTCAGCGACGGTGTCACCTTCTCTGATCTAGATCCTGACCGTTTTTACTTCCCTTTCGTATCCCGAGACGTTGAGGGGGCTTTCGTTGGTCAATATCGCGGCTCGGTATCGCCTCTCAAGCATGACGTTATCGTCCCACGTACTTCCAAAGCGACCACAGTACCCACGACACGTAAGTAACATATTACCACTTTTAAATGTCCGAGAGAGTACTAATCCAACCAGATTCGGTCGATTCTGGCTCACGCACTGCCACTGTAAAACCAATCGATCCGCGTAGCAACTACCAACCTCCTAGTGTCAGCGAAGACGATGAAATGGAAGAGAACGGGTCTCTGTACCAACCTCCAAGTAGGAGTTCATCTCCGTCACTTCCAACGGCTACACCGGCACCGCCAGCACCGCGAGCGCCTCCGAGCCCCAGGCCACCACCAGAGCGCAGCAACACGGCGAGGGTAGACTTGACAGACCGGTCAAAGAAAACATCCTATGGTCAGTATCCCCAGCCATTAAATTAAATACGTATCAAGCTAACCCATTACAAGTTCCTGGCACTAAACTTGAGCACAAGTCGCTAGATTGGGGTGGTAGCTTCCCCGGAAGCCACGACTTCTACCGGACTCGCGAACACCCAGACCAAGACATATATATCCTCAAACCGAAAGTCGGCACGAAGAAACCGCGTCACAAGAGGGTACTTTCGGGGGGTATGGATCGCGGTAGTGCGAAGAGATCGAGGACCAGTATGGTGGCCAGCCAAGCGGACGCGTCGTCATACATTGTCATTCCGAGCTCAGACTCTGAGGAAGATCCAGATTCTCGTGCTACTCGAGGCAGTCCCTTCGTACGTGGTAGCCAGGCGACTGCGACTCCATGGCCGGAAGGAGGCGTAACCTATCGTTACTGAGCGAGTGACGCAACGTCGACATTTGGGTATCTTGGGACGCAGCTACTGAAGGATCGTACGAGACTTCTTATTGGATATTTACCGGGAGCTCTTTGCACTAGGTCGGTTAACGTACCGTGTCCACGCGAAGAGGCCCCGAGACGCCATCCTGCAGGGCCATCGGGCCACGCTGTCAGCCCTAGTCTACCCGTACTGCATCGACGTTGCATTCGCGTATGTTTCTAGCGTACCTGAAAGCCTCTATTCAGCGTGCTATTCGAGGAATGAAGTGTTCCTGTCGTCAGTGTGGCTAGCTTGTATGCCCCTGACACGCTGGCGCCCCTTGTCACTGGCCGGGATGTACATAGTCCTCTTGAGCTATCTTAGTCTTGCATGCATGACAGGGTCTCAATATAGCGTGAATGGATATGTGCCTTGCAGGAATGTTTATGTTTCGTGCAGTTCGCATGGAAGCGATAGGTTCGATGGTGCCGCTTGCTACAGTGATGCGTGATGCTAGCACACTACGACACAAGCACTCCATATCCGTGAAACATGCAAAGCTACATACTAGAAGTCTCGCGAATAGTATGACAACAGTGATCGTGTTCCAAAGAAAGCCCAAGCTCGTGGTGGCTGCCGAGCTTGATACAGCACCGCGTGGTGACTAGATGTATATCCTGGATTGACCAGTGCATGCCACAACTGGGACCTCTCATCCTTTTTTCTACTAACATTACAAGATTTCAACAGCTCAAATGTGATGTCAGTCTGCGCTTCAGATTCACTCATCGCGCCGCATAGCTGAATCGGGTTAGCATGCTACGGCCGCCGCCGTCTCGCTTAGATGCGGCGACCTTTCCAACGGCCACGATAATCGGAACCGTCGGTGACGACTGCGCAACGCTTCAGACGTCGATATCAGCAGATAGGCAGGCGATTAATCACCTGCCATGTCCAATTGAAGCCATGGCAGCCGGCGCAGAGGGCATCGGGAAAAGCAACGGAGCTTGCCCGTCGCAAAATCTTGCTCGATGAGGAAACAACCTCCACGAATGCCCCGCGCCTAGTCTACAGCGACCACAACGACATGGCCGCTTTCGGCCCACTATACTCACTAGCCGCTTGTGGTGCGAGTGATAGTAGTAGTGCGTGATGATATAAATACGCAATGCGATGGTCTTGGATGGTCATCGCTGCATCAAACCTCTCCCACTTCTATGCTCTGCGACGATAAGCCCTGGTTACTGAACAACATGTCGTCCAGCAAGCCCTCATACCTCGTCGTTGGCGCCGGCGTCTTCGGCATTTCAACTGCTTACCACCTTATCAAGAAGTACCCAGATCGACAAGTTACTGTTGTCGACCAGGATGCTTGGGACGCCGATAACCGCGTAGCAGCTTCGTGGGACTGGAACAAGGTCGTGCGCGCCGACTACGACGATGTCATTTACTGCAGACTTGCGCTCGAGGCGCAAGATGTGTTCAAGGAGGACCCGTTATGGCAACCATACTTCCACGAGACTGGTATCTTCTGGGTTTGCCGTTCAGATTACGCACAAGAAGTCATCGACAACTACAAGAAGCTTGGACGCGAAGCAGACCTGCAGTCAGTCACCATTGAGGAGGCGAAGAAGTTGTTCGGCGGGCTTTTCGAGGATGCGAACTACGACGGCGCAAAGAGTGTACTCGTCAACAAGACAAGTGGTTGGGCACAGGCTGGTGACGCGCTAAGAGCAGTTACCAAGTGGTCGATCGCAAAGGGCGTCAAGTACATCACCGAGAAGGTCAAAGACCTAGACTTCGACAGCGCCGGCCGATGCACAGGCGTCAACACAGAGCAAGGCAGCACCATCAAAGCCACCCACACCATCCTCTCAACCGGCGCCTACACCGCCAAGCTCCTCGAGCAAGCCGCCCAGAAAAGCGGCAACCCCAACCTGCGTTCTGGCTCAAGAATTGTCGCTGGTGGTATCACGACCGGCATGACGACGCTAGACGAGAAGTCGTACGAGAAGTTCAAGGACATGCCCGTCGGTGTCCAGGGCTACACCGCCGCATACGGACCCTTCATCGGCAGCTTACCGCCTACCAAGGACCGCGAGCTCAAGTGGTGGGGCGAGAAGATCTTCAAGCATACACACGAAGTACTACCCGGTCGCTTCGTTTCTGCGCCGCCGTCTGGAAAGGATTATAACCAGTGGGACGTGCCTGGTCCGTTGAAGCTGGATATCGATCACGCGAATGATGTGTTTTACGGCAAGAAGGGCGCGAATTGGAAGATGGAGAAGCATCGGATTTGCTGGTAAGTTCTACACTCATATCTCTCCTGTTCGATCAGTACTAACATCACCCAGGGACGCATTCACGACTTCATCCGACTTCATCATCTCGCCGCACGCCGGTGCCAAGGGCCTCTACGTCGCCACATGCGGCTCCTTCCACGGCTACAAGTTCTTCCCCGTTCTCGGCAAATACGTCGTGCAGATGCTGGAAGACGAGCTGGAACCAGCGCTCAAGGAGAAGTGGGCATGGGATCGCGAAAGGCCGGCGCCTAGCCTCAACCCCGACTGGCCTAGGTTCGAGATGACGGATTTGATGGACCAGTGGCCAAAGGCCAAGTTGTAAGATGCAGCAAGAGGATTTTGATGAAGTTAATGAGTGGATGTTGCATAGTTACATGGCGCCTGGGTTGGCGTTTACATTTCTTTTACATAGCGGATGTTGTCAATAACAATCCTACTTTTCCACCTTGCAATCCCATCGCCGTATTCCAGCCGTCTCCTCAAGTTCCACCTCGATCTCATCGACCCACCCATTCATTTCTTCCAGATATGCCGTGATCTTGCTCAGACAGCGTTTGAAGTGTCGCTTTTGCTCCTCATTCAGCGTTCTGAACTTATCTTTACCCCACGTACCCAAGTAAACATACTTCATATCTTTTAGCGGACTCATCACGTTTCCGGTAAGACAGTCCATTCTCTCGGCTTCGGTGGTGAGGGAAAAGAACGGATCGATGAAGCAGCCATGAAAGTAGAGCTTTTCCAGAGGACCGGGAACGCACATCTTGGGTGTTTAGAGCAGATTACGGTAAGGGAATGATGTCTGAGTTGGGGAAGACAAAAGGGCGCGAATGGATTTTAACTTGAACAAACACCCGTGCAGTAACCGTATGGCGCTTTCTCACATTGTTAGAGCGCAAACATTCGGTCATGAAAGGGTATATACGCTTGCGTGCTAGAAGGTGCGAGCAAGCACACGCCGTATATACCGCGAGCGAACGTACCAGATCTGCCCGCCACCGCCTACCCCACGATGTCCTCTCGCATAGTTGGAAATGACCCCAAAACCTTCACAGATAACTTCGCAATCGAGGAGCTCTACAAAGCAGTCCTCAGGTTCCAGCGCGTATGCCTCGGTAGAGATGTTAATGGCAGCATGATCGAGACATCCGGCCGAGCGAAACACCCCACTCTAAGCGCGGGTAACAAGAGCCTTTTCAAAATAACTGCGGCGCATATGCAGAATGTTCTCAATTGGAGTAGAGAGATCGGTTTGGACATGAACGTTGAAGAGGCTGGTGATATTGGGAAACAAGGACTACCTGATCTGCCCGGTTGGGTGTTGGGAGAAGAAATTAAGAGAAGCAAGCACGGTGACGATTGGTTGCAGTGGAGCAAGTAGCCCCTCATCGTGTAGCATATACATGTTCATTTGATTCATATTTACATCGAAGTGTCACACCTACAGTAGGTGCCGGCCAATTTTCCTTTCCTCCTCTTCGCATGCAAGACACGTCTAAGCAGTGAGCTTGCTCTTGATGAAGGTAAGGGCCTGGTTTCCGTAAATGCTGACGTACTGCTGGTGGTGGTTGGCGTCGTTTCCGTTGCAGCAGTATGGGTCCTGAGAGTCGCAGTAGCTCTGGATGATGCTGGTGCTGGCGGGCGAGCAGGAGAACCCTGAGGGGCGGGCGGCGAACTGAGGTAGGTGTTAGTAAGAGTAACTGTGTATGAGAGAAGGGTAAACTTACGCCTTGGGCCTTGCAGGTACCGACGTTGTAGGGGAGACCGTTACGGTTGTGGGGGTCACCCATGAAGATTGCGGCCTTGACGGCTGCCAGGGCGGTGCCGGTCAATGTGGAACCTGCACCGCCGCAGACGGCGTTGTCCATGATCTGACCTCCCTGCGGGCCGTTAGTACTTGGCTTTCTTGGATTTCATGGCATCATCCATACCTGAGAGTATCCGATGAGGACGATCTGGGTGTCAGGGCACTTTTGGTTGTAGGCAGTAACAGCCTTGACAACAGCCGCAGTTCCCTGGGAAGCAGAGTTGTCGTAGGAAATGCCTCCGCAGGCAGATCCTCCACCGCACGCTGGGTATACGATGGCTTCGGATCCTGCACCGGGGTAGGCGCTCTTGACGGAGTTTACGAGCCCAGCGGCGGTACCGTAGCCATTGCTTTGAGGCAGGGTAGTCTCACGAGCTCCGAAGATGTAGACCTTAGGGCAGCTCTGGCGCTCGGCGAGCTCAACTGGGCCGGCGGCCGCGAGACCTGCAAAGAGAGCTGTCGCTGCAGCGAACTTCATGTTGACGTTTGGATAAGTGGGTACTTTGCTTCGGATGGAGATGAGATGTCAAGGGAGCGTGATGATCAAGTCTGGGCAACGGGTGAGGTGTTTATAAAGACAGTTTCACTTGGCCATAGTTGCTGTCCTTTAGGCAGAATCGATTGCCTCGACTGTACACCATAGCGTATCGGTGGGGTACAGAATACTGGTTTGCGTTCTCCTGGCGCACAGATGGTCCTTTCATCCGTCCTCGCAATTTATCTGAGCAGTCACGCCGTCCCTGTGACGAAGATCCGACAGGGATTATTGCCGTAGCCCGCATCTCTTTCATGCAGAACCAAGCCGAGCTCGTCTGGGGTACATATGAATCCCAGTGTCTTTCGGGGGAAAAGCGAGCAAGCGAGCGAGTAGAACGGTGTAACGTATAGCACCTTCGGCACATCGCGCGGTGGATAGATGGATGGCGTTACGGCCGCGTGGTCAGATGGTGTACCGGCGTGGAGCCGAACCGTTCTGGCTAAAAGGCAGCTCTCGAAAAAGCTTGGGTTGGCACCTTGGGAATCCGGGGTAAAATGCTTGTTTCTCGGAGCCTCAGCGCTAACATGGCGTACCTGAGGATGGAAGAAGCATAGCTTCCGGATGTGCGTAAGAGTGCCAATGTGGTGTATAGGGTCAAGAACGTCGATAGTAGCGAGGTGGCACTCACCGCCCCTCCCCAATTCTGCCGGTGCTCTAAGATTACTGAACAGTATTGGGGCCAGACGATACTGTTCTAGTGTGACTTGATGGCGAGTTCAATAGCGGTCTGGTTGGACGTAGCGACTCGTGGCTCTCCTTATAATGAAACAAATATAGAGCGGGTCTGTCCGACTGCCGTGTTTGCGTCACTGGCAGACCTATCACTAATCAGTGCATGTGTAGCTCGAAGAGACTCACTCTGCATGCGCATAGACTACTTCTGGAGGGCGAGCACGTACGACATGGCTGTACATGAATTTGCGTGAAGATGAAGGTTTGTGAGAGACCTCCAGGGCTAGGTACCAAAGTGCCTGCCCAGGTGTGACGTCATCACGACATCCTCACGATTTAGCTCCATCACGCTACGCTAGATACGTCGTAAATCGTTGCGCCCCTGTACTCAACTACCAACAACGACTCCAAGGTTATGTCCAATGTATTAGCAACACAATACCGAATGTGCGCTGGTTTCTCTCGTGGCTCCGCCCACGAAAAGGCGTTGTTGCTTCAAAAGAACGCACAGTGCTGCCACAGAACCTTGGAGCGCATGATCTACCAACCTCTGCAGGCGAAGAAAGTGTATTGAGAAATCGTAATGACATTCAGAATCTTCCGACGAATTGTCGATCCATGTCTTCATTTGGGAGGCCTGTAAGTTCTGTGCAATGGGAGCTTTTAGAAAGAGTGCGGGGCATGTCGTCGTGCGGCGCAGTCAAAGTGCAAGGCCTGACCTCACGTTTGCAGCGCGTATCATCTCTCGTCCATTTTGAGTCCGTACAGCCGGATAACACAACCTTCACCATGTCATTACAAGACGGCACTGTCGAGAACGGCGCGGAACCGACTTACAAACACGATGAGACGGCGAAGCCCACAATTGAGGAAGAGACGCGAGTTGACATGATCAAGGATTGGATCAAAACGTGCGACGAGCATCATGGCTCTCCATGCGTTGTACCCAAAGCGGACGCGGTCGCATGGCCTACATGGCTCATTGACGTTGTAAACGCATGCGTAATTGAGGGTGAGGTTGCCGAGCGTTATCTCACCCTCAGCTACGTATGGGGCGGAGTGCAGACTTTACAGTTGAATAAAGACAATATCGATCGGTTGAGGCAGCAAGGAAGTCTCGTGAAAGAAGTAGTGACCCTACCCAGGACGATACGAGAAGCTCTGGAAGTTACACGATTTCTCGGACAGCGATACATTTTCGTTGACCAGCTTTGTATCGTTCAGGATGATCAGCAGCATAAAATGACCGAGATTCAAAACATGACAGAGATCTATGGGAACTCTTACCTAACTCTTGTCGCTATCACAGGTAGTACGGCCGACACTGGCCTGGCTGATACTTTCGACAGATGGATACACCAATCTCCGTCGGGCATCAAGTATCTGGATGCTGACCACGATTACTCGTTGACGCACGAAATTACCGAGGGTAGTACATGGAATCAACGAGGATGGTAAGTAATGTCTCGTATACCACATAGCGGGAAAGCGCTTGTTTTAACGGCTTCCGTTAGGACCTTCCAGGAAAAGATATCCTCAAGACGCATTCTATATTTCCTCAAATTCCGAAAGAACGACGTCTTATATCAAGAAAAGGAGGACCCATGTCGCATATCATGGAAATGCCACCAAGCTGCCTGGCATGACCTACGCGGCCGAGTAATAACCGAAGAGGTAAAATGTCTCGATAAACCTGGATATGCATGTCCTGGCCCAGTTACCTGGCCCAGCTTCAAGGAATACCAGTCCATTGTCCGCAGTTATTCACGACGACACTTCACGTATGATTCCGATGTCGTTCCAGCATTTGCAGGCACTGCTTCTTCACTTGCAGATATCTTCCCTGGCGGGACCTTGTACGGCCTACCCATTTTGTTCTTTGATGTTGCACTCCTCTGGATAGTCCCTTCAGGGGCGAAAAGAAAGAGCATAGATGTAACTTCGCATGAGAGTATTCGGCCACCAAGCTGGTCTTGGATGGCCTGGCGTGGACAACTGTGGGGAGGGACTAATCCCTTTTGGAGCAATTTTTCTTTGGGTGGGACAAAGGGTGCGGTTGTCTCTCCACTTGTTCAATGGTATTACATCAGCGCAGGGGGAGCTCAGGTCAGGATCGAGAACGAGCTCTACAAGTACAGACACCTCGCTCAAGACAGCGAGAGCCCGCTTCCTTCGGGATGGAGCCGAACGATATCCACCTCTAGCAAGTCTGATATGCGCGACAAACTTTGTTACGTCACACCATGCGCCCCAGGACAGGAGTTTCATTTTCCAATTCCACTCGTGGATGCGCCAGATGCTGTTACGATACCAGTGCCAGCTTCAAACAAAATCACCTGTCTGACTGAGCGCGCATACTTCTCTCTGGACAGACCTGCTAAGGTTTGGGCCCGCCCTAAGTTTCCGGCACTCCGTCTTTTCCCGCATATTGTTGATGCCTCGGGATCGATTTCGGGTAAGATGTTGGAAACAGGTGACAAACCACCCGAAGGAGCTGATTCGATTATTATGGTCGAACTCATTGCAGTATCGACCACTCTCCTAGGGGCTCTTCCCTCGGGCTGTCCATTTACCCATCTAGAAACGTATTGTCCAGGAGCTCGCGATTTCTACAACGTTCTTTGGATTGAGTGGACAGACGGTATCGCCTACAGAAAGGGCGTTGGTTTTGTCACCAAGGCAGCATGGGAAGCAGCTGATCGGGAGCTCATCGATGTTGTGCTTGGATGACGAAGAGTTTTGAAGCAACTTGGTATATGCAGCGGATACAGATATCTTCTGCTTGGCTATCAATTTGGATTAGCGGTACAGCGTCTTGTGTCGAAAAGGTTCAGGCGTATATCATAGTTAGCTCATTAAGCTGCTCCGCTAACAAGGCGACTGGCAAGTTCGTCGCGTTTTTGACGTCAAAAACGCGACGAAAGTGGAAGACACGGATGATGATGTCATCAGCACTCTTTTTCTGATGATAAGCTGGGATCTAATAGTTTTATTTCCTTTGCCTAGCTTCAGCTCACACCAGAGCACACCCTCGCTTTCAACAAAACATTACTCATCTCAGCATGCTCTCCCCACTCATCCCCCCACTTGATCAGACCCGGGAATGCGCAGAACAGAAACCTCCGATCGACATCCATATCAGCGCCATCTTCCACAGCGGGATCAACGTCATTAACAGCTTCCATCGTGCGTTCATCGAACTGCATACTCGCATCTTGGCAGCGGAAGAAGAGCAACTGGTAACGAGCCTTTTGTAGAGCCAGTGTACGCTGCAACGTCACGGCGTCTTTCAATACCCCAGTGAGCGTTGACTGAGCGGATGGTGGAAGGCTCACGGACGTCAGCGTGAAGAGTATGTGGCTGATCTCTCCGGCGAGTCGGTGTAGTGAGGCTTCTCTTTCGGTTTCGATGTCACTGTGCGCTTCGCTACGTTCGAGCACCTGCACGGTAGCGCGCACCCATTCCCGATATGTGGTACCAAGATGCCGTGTGTGCTCTGCGAGTGGTCGTAAGCCAGCGAAAGGATCTGAGCTAGGTAACCCAAACACAATAGGAGCATCGAAAATCTGCATAAGCGAATGCGACACGATAGCCTGATACAGCGCAAGCTTATCCGTACTCCGAATGTTAACACTGTACAGCGGATTCAACGCGCTGAGAACCTCCTCCGTCTCCTTCGGAAGGTTTTCCAGATTCAACCTCGATCGCCGGAAGTTCGACACCGTCCATTCGCGCACGCGATTTGCAAGTTGTGAGAACGATTCTGCCAGCTCACTATCCGTGATCTGTGAGTCCATGCGCGTGAGCGAGGATATGCTTGACTTCAGTGCGAGAAGTTGCTGGAGCCTCTCTTGTGATTCCTTCTCGGCGGCGTGGAGGCGTAGGCGTAGGTCGTCTGCTTCCCCATTCGACTGTGGTCGCTCGATGCGGTTTTGATGTGTTTTTTCGTGCGACGCGAGCCGCTCTTCGAGCTGTGCCGGTGGGACTGTATCCGTATTCGAAGCCGACTGAGCGAGTTGCGCCCTCAGCTCCTCAATCGCGTCTTGATCTGCCTCCCTGAATTGTCTCAATCTTGATAGCTCCTCCCTAGCCAAGCTCTGTTCCTCCTTCGCAATCGCGAGAGCTCTTTCCAGGTCCGCTATTCTGTGTGCCATGCGCGCGTCTACGGCATCATCGCCCGATGACGCCATTTCCGACTTGCTGTAAAGCTCATTGCTAGGCCCTGGAGGTGCAGTGTCTCTCTCGAGATCTACCGCACCTTCGCTTTTGCGCTTCAGCATATCATTGAAGGGGTATCGGCGTCGATGTACTTCGTCTTTCCTCGCATTGGGAGCGGCTACGGCAGCTTTCGGCGGGGTAACGACGTTGTTGGCGGAGGGCTTCGTTGATCTCGAGATGAGTCTGGTACCACGCTTCACGCTGAGGCGGTGGGTAGATTCTGGGTATATTAATACATGTTAAGACCGTGCGGTTGAAGTACTGAGGCTTGCCAGAACTCTTTCGTTCGGTCATAGCTGGGACCGGGCGCGTTCCGACCTAAGGGCGCATCGGAACCAACTTCAAAGCGGGCGTCAAAGACCCAAACCTCCACACCCCTCTCGAAGAATATCACCATCGAATGGCTTCACGTGGGACGACACGAGTGTGCCTGGGCGAGCTGAATCCTGCAGCCTTGCGCGAGCTGACGATCACCAACCAGGGCCCGCAGCTGGGCGACTCCTACAGCAGTGGGTAGCGCGCGCCGTTCCTAGGCTTCGACATCACACCGCGCAAGGTTTCCGCCGGTGCCTGAATCATTCGCATGTCCTTCAGGCAGACACACTCATGACCTTGACGTCTTCCCCGTATCCACGTCCACGCCCATGATACTCTTGTGCTTTTCGTAGGATTCAGCCCCGCGGTCCGACCCACGCGACAGCCACGCGATCTGCCAAAGCCGGCATTGTAAACAACAAAGATCAACACACCGAAGAATGGCCATGAACCACACGTTTCCCAATCGAGGAAGTAGCATTCCGTATACTTTCAATCCGGGGAGCAATGCGACAATCGACATAGGCAGCGTACCTGAAGTGGGTAGTACCACAAAGGATAGGTTGGTCGTTGGTGTCGACTTTGGAACCACCTACAGCGGTTGGTAGCAACTATTCCACGATATGCGACCGATACGATTGGACGCTGAAGCTCGATAGGTGTGGCTGCCGTTTACAGTGCGGCCCCTGACGACATTGACATCATCAAGACGTGGCCTGGCGGGAACGGTATGTTGTACTTGGGTTGACCAAATGCGCATCCACGAACTGACATGTACGCGCAGGTATCACGTCCGACAAAGTCCCCACCGAAATTGGTTACAGCGAACCACCCTCCCGTAACGGCTCAGTCTCGTCGCTCGATGCGCCCGCGAAACCTGCGCAGAACATAAAATGGGGGTTCCAATTCAAGCCAGAGGAGACGCGTCTCAGGTGTATAAAGCTGTTCCTCGACAGGAACCAGAAGCTACCGCATTTCGTATCGCCGCTTGAAACCGCCGCGCAATTGCGCAAGTTCGAGAAGACGGTCATGGAGGCGGTCTCGGACTATCTGTCGCAGATATACAAACATACAATGGAGACTTTGACAAAGAGATACGGAGAGACATTCATCAGCTTGACCAAGGTTGAATTTGTCTTGACAGTACCTGCCGTGTGGTCAGACTCGGCGAAGGATGCGACGCTGAAGGCTGCGGAGAAAGCTGGTATGGGCAACAGGCACGAGCTGAAGCTTATATCAGAACCGGAGGCTGCGGCAGTATATACTCTAAAGGCGATACAACCGAACCATCTGAAAATTGGCGACAACTTTGTCGTCTGTGATGCTGGTGGCGGTACTGTCGACTTGATAGCCTACAAGATCACCCAACTGCATCCTCTTCGCGTCGAGGAATCAGCAGTCGGAACTGGCGGTCTTTGTGGCTCTACGTTCATCAACTATCGCTTCGAAGAACATGTCAAGCAGCGCATTGGCGCGGAACGCTATAGTTGGATGCGCGAGAAGAAGATGAAGACTTGGAATATGGGGTTGAAGTACTTTGAGGAGTTCGTCAAGCGCAACTTCAATGAGGAGGAACACAATGAAGTCAACATACCCTTCCCGGGATTACCGGACGATGAGGAAGCGGGGCTTGACTCTGGGTTCCTTGTCATGAGTGCGGAGCAAGTCAAGGACCTATTCGATCCGGTTGTCCAAGAAGTTATAGATCTGGTGGAAGGTCAAGTCTACAGCATAAGAGCAAAGGGAGGTCTGGTATGCGGAATCGTCCTGGTGGGAGGCTTCGGGCAGAGCAATTACCTCTACGGTCGGATGAAGTCCCACTTCAATAGCGCACCTCCACCTCCCTATACCGAACGACCAACGCACGCGGTCGCATTGAATGCCTCGCAGGCAGTCGAAATATACCACCCGATACATGCGTGGACAGCAGTGGTGCGAGGCGCAGTACTCCGCGGGCTAGAAGGCAATATGGTCATTAGCAGAAGAAGTCGATGGCACTACGGTACCAGTTACGCGACAGTCTTCGATGAGGCGAAGCATCCCATATCCGACCGATATTGGAGTCCGCTCTGGGAACGATGGATGGTATCCGACCGGATGCAATGGCACATCGCAAAGGTACATACCCCCTCACCTTCTCCATAATATACCACAACATACTAACCTCCCACACAGGGCGCACAAGTCTCAGAAAACAGACCCATATCCTTCCACTACACGCGCAACTTCCGGCCGGGCCAATCCCTCATTGTAGAAGACGACCTCATAGCCTGCGACGCGGACACAGCGCCCGACTCCTTTAAGAAAGGTCTTATCAACGTCTGCACACTGACCACAGACTTGAACACGGTGCCTAAGAGCTTGTTTACGCGATTGACGACGACGAAGGGGGTGGAGTTTGATAATCTGGATTTTACGCTGGATATGCGGTGTGAGAGTGCGGGGTTGGTGTTCGAGCTGAAGGTTGATGGGGTGAGGTATGGGGGTGTTAGTGCGAAGTTTCATTGAGGAAGGAAGGCAGGGAGGGATGAGATTAAGAATGTGGTCCCGGAAGATTCATGTAGGATCCAAACAATCAAGAATATTAATCTCAGTCGAAAATTGATTAATGAAGATTCTGTGGATATGGTGCGCGTCAAGGTGATTTTCGAGTGAGTGTCAATGTGTGACAAACGGTTGAGACGAATGTTATTCCAGGGCAGCCGACAGCGGAACATACACTTGATGTCTACTGCCGATTTGCCGCATGCGGCACCACCTGTATCGGCTGCGGCGTTACTGCCCTGGCAAGATCGAAAGATGAAAGGATCGCATCCTGAAGTAAAGCGATAGGAGCGGTCGAAATCGCCGTGGATCTTGATCTGATCGCAAATCGCAACTGGGGGAAGAATTCTTCAACGGAGATGTGGGTGCGAAGGAATACACTGGAGAGCCCCATCGATGACCACTGCATTATTCGCACAGTTCTCGTCGGCGGTGCTTTGGGCTGCGCATGCCCAAAGATTAAAGGTTTCTCACGGATCACCATTAGGTTTTCGTGAGCACTCTATCTGACAACGATAGCGACCCCGAGTAATGTCGAAAGTGTATATATCACCTAGGTTCCCACGCGTTTGGTAAACGGACATAGTACCCGTTGTAGACAACAGAACCGATGCTATTTTCTGAGAATAAGATGATTCAGCAAGGGCAGGGTGTCGAGCGTAGTTTGTGCTGCGGATTTTCGGATGCTGAACTATCCATGTGGTGCTCGTGGGGCAAGCGTGGATGGGATGATCCAGGGGGTGGGGAAGCCGGAAAACCTAGTTTTGCACTGTAACATTGTAGTCGTAAGAGATGGTTTGGTTTGTAGATTCCTAATCTACAAGTCATGGTCACATACCCTGGTAGTAAGACGCGTAGACGAGTTTAGGTTGTGAAGTCTAACCCACGCGTAGACTATCGTGGCTGCATCATGTTTCCTTTTTCATACCAGCGCGATCCCGGGTATAGAGCCTCCCGGTAACGTGTACACTTGGCAGCAAGGCGAGCAGAGATCCTGATGCGGAACTAAAGTCCCGACGATTTGAGGTTTTGGTGATCCGACCTAGTTGTTCAAGGGGGTGCGCTGACTAGTGGAACCCCGCATTTGGGTTCCATGCGTGAAGATCGTTAGCAGCGATTTCACACCCTCGATCGCTCGGGGGACGTCCCGCCTGTAAGATCTCAACCTGTGGTGCGTGGAGATTGCCGTGGGCAGTGAGTGAGATTGGTGGCGTGATAGTCGATGCAGGTATTACCAGGTTTTGCATCGCATTTAGAAACCAGGACAAAGACTTGCCCACGCGATGGATGTGGTCACTTGTGGGGCCTGTCGAGCGCAGCACACATCGATGGATTTCGCGACTAGATCTGTACGATACTGAATGCGGTAATTTGGGCGAATCATGGCTCTCGGATGCGAGTCCGATGAGAACTGCCGCGTATCGGATCGGAATCTCTACCGGTGGCACGGGCAAATCTCCCGAACAAAGCCGATGGGAGAATGGTTCTGGTGATACCCTCAGCATCTTTGATCAATATCATCACTGCTCAGCATTTGGTCGCCGGAGTAAGACGATGTTCGAAGGAACAGGCGACCAGCGATTCAGGGTCCATGAGGATATCTGCCGAGTCGTGCATGGTGCGTGGTTAGCGAACGGGACTTGCCATTTCACGCTTCTAATACTACTGCACTCTAGTTAAGTAGAATTGTGAAACCAGCGCAACATGACGAAGGACCGATAGCTCAAATCGGCTTTTCGATTCGAGATGCGTCCGTTGTACGAAGTGAACCATACTATCTCCAACCTCGATAACATAGTATGGTTCAGGCGACGGGGCGGAATGTTATTCTCGCAAGGTGTCGCGGACAACTCCGTCGCAGCTGCGGTCGGGGACATATGACGTAGAAATCGCATGATTAGTTGGAGAAGAACCGTATTCCTAGGGTTCGAAGGCCCTGTCAGCAAGTGAGGCTGCGTGCCCGCTAGAATAAAGACTTTAGTATACCGGCTTTCTATATAAAATAGGAAAGGTCTCCCCGAAGCAATCGAACTTTAACCATAAGGCGAGCAATTCGACGGAGGCTCGGCCAAGACGTGATCGACCATGACAGCTGAGCGGAGATGGCTCCGTAGCTTTCTGGTCGATCATAATGCAGAGCTTTAGAGTCCGGCTGTTGATAGCGGACGCTGAGGAACTGTGCCAACGTCGAAGCGCGTCTAGAAGTATGCGGCCGGCGTTATTTTCGTGAATTATAGGCGAGGTGTTGCGCGGCTGTCAACGTGTCGCGTTCACTCTCCTGAAGATCACCCACTGAGTTTACCAAAGCGGACACTAGCCAACGTGATGCTGATCTCCAGAGGTTCGGTATGGGGCTCCGCCATGTCGGGCAGACAGCGTGGCGACAAGACTGGACGTTCGAGATGCGCTAGGAAACGTGGTGACTGCCAAGCTAA